CGTAGAATTGAAAAAAAAACGCTTGTAATCGCATCACGATATTCTGCATGATGGTGCCACAGATAAAAGATTTGCGTCGCACGTCTACCTGAATGGCGCGTGCGCAATACATGATCCAGGTTCGTGTAAACACAATACTATATTTTAACGCATTGCCAATGGTCGATGTACACTTTCCGAGGGAACAGAACACGTTTTTGGCGACATGTGAACGCTTCGATTAAAAACAATGCGTTTTCATCAAAATTCTGACGTGGCCCGGGTGAAACGGGTCCGAGGGCGACCATTTTGATTCCATTTGTTACGGTTTTCGATCGGTCGTAATGTTTGGTCGCCATGCCGCCGATACGACTTACGATCACGCGACGATTTTGCACAACAAACGCTATTCGTTTTCGACCGGCACGTTTTTTTTTTTTGATTTTCACTTTTTCATCGACTCCGATCGGTCGTTGTTTTTTCCCTCCGTCTCCCATTCTCCTCTCTCACTGATTTCCGACGGAAGGGACGGACGAACCACCTTTGAACGGGCTACGGTTTCGTATCATTTTGTTTTTACGGATTGTTCTGCGGAAAATATCAAAAACAACGATAACGAAAGCAATACGGACGTGTGAAGCTGATAACGTGCCACGTGCGTGCGCACATGCTGACGAGGAGCCGAGGAGTGACCGTGTTCACGAATGCGTATCCCTCGTAATTATTACGGTGCGCTAGAATGTATTTTTTGAAAATGAAATCGAAAAAAATTAACAAACGAGAGTTGACGGAGGGAACGAGTGTTTCACGTTGAAAAATGACCTTGCGTGTTCGTTTTAGAACACAACGATACACACATTTCGTTCTTATCAGTTAACCCAGGGGTTTCCAAACTACAGTCCACCGTTTCGACTGTATAGAGGCCCTTCAAAAATAATAATTATACATTTCACGTTCTACAGCTAATTGCATACTGTTAACACACGAATATGTTTCCTATCTCATTAGTGTTTACTTGATATTATTATTATTATTGTTATTATGTTCAATCGCATCGCGCATAAGAAGTACATGACTTCATTTTCATTAATTCAATGCCATCATATTTAATGATATCAACATTATGTAATAATAAAAAACAGGTATTAATATTTTTTTATTTTTTTTTTTTTTTTTATTATTAATCCTAACCCTTGAACGAACGCATGCTATAAGTAATTTTATCGTACACTAAAATACTGAAATTCAATTAGCCGTTATTTTTTATGTATAAACACTCAGATCTTCTGAAATAATAAAGATAATCAAAATTCCTATTTCTTTCATTTTGTTGTTTTGGTAAAAATTTAAAAAAATAATTTTTATACTGTTATGTTCTAAACACTTAAAGATATTCTATTGAGTTATTTTTTCTGAAAATGATGACGTTTCATCCTTCTGTTTTCATTAACCTCGTGACTTATAGTATTTGTTTAGATTACAAAAAAAATAGTATATTATTTATTACCAAAACAGTGCCTTGAAATCATCAAAAAACGAGATAAGGTAATATTTAAACACGTTATATTTAATACACCATTTATTTTCGTGAGGAAAAAAAATATTAAAAACCATGATGTGAATAAAAATAAAAAGTTGAAAAGTCATCATTTTCAGTAAAATTAACTCAATAGAATATCTTCAAATGTTTATCAAATTATTGTTTTTTAATGTTTACCAAAACTCTTTAAGGGATTGTCTTTTTGTCAATTTTTGAAAATGATAAAATAAAAAGTTATTTACACTTAAGCTTATTTTCAAAACATAAAAATGTAATCTAAATATGAATAATTGTAACCATTTTCCTCGCAAATCTTAAAAAATAAACTGAAATTGATTTTTTTTTCATTACATCTGGACTCCAAGAGGAATCGCAATGTGTATCTTATTGATATACTCCGTATGATTTACTGATGTACGTATACTGTATATATATATATATATATATATATATATATATAATCTATATGTACTACATTTTTGTGAACGACGTACATAGTTTATCTAATACCTAGAGAGGCGGGGGATTACTCGCAGCCAAATATACCAATAATTATAATAATACTATACTTGCCGATAGATATAAAAGTATCTACCACGCATTGTAAAACGCTGGTTCAGCTAGCATGTGTTGAATGTTTTGTAAAACACGAGTTACATAAGCGCCAGGTATTATGATATAAGTTGGTGCATACATAATAAAATAAGAATAGCAGTAATTCCACATGTAACATATGCGACATATACTCTCGTTTATGTGGTAAGTCGGTTTGTTTTTTTGCTTTCATTGCAATCAATGATTGTCGAAATTATGTTCAGTAAGTAAACACATTTGACGCCGTTTGAAATATTAATGATGCTTTAACAACAAATTTATTTAAATTCAATTAATTAATTAATAAAAGTTTAGTTTTTTAATATTCAGTCGTTAATTTATTAACTTTATACAAACCTGATGATGAATTTTTAATTCGAAACCAATCGTACTTCACAAATATAATAATACTCCTAACTAAGCTTTTATTTACTCATTTATTTATTTCTATATCAATTTACGAGTAGAAACTAGTTAATAGTTTTTAATTTATATTGTAGTTTTAATTATTTCAGTATTTAAACTATTCATATTTTAATGTGTTCCACTAATACTCATGTTGGGTTTCATCAATGAATGCCTTTCCTAATTTTCTCATTTTTATTATGTATATTATATTTATGAGCGGACCAAGCGTGGGATAAGTGTAAGGTGGTCATAATATCCTCTCCTCCAATTATTGAGTTTTTAATTTTTCAGTTGTCCATCTAAGAAAAACCGATCAACTGTACACATTGGTCAATTGATTTGTAAATTATTATTATAGAGATTTATCAAAATTGAACTGCAATTATTGAAATTTGAAAGAATAATATTGCCAATGTGGTACTTCAATACAATTCTAAAATCATAATCTTTTATTAATTTGTATTTTGTACATTTGGTCGCATCAATGGGTGAGTAACACGATAATGCTGCAAATGGTAAAGAATTCTTGAACTCCGTTTTCATTGGGGACGAGACCTGGGTTCACTGTACGACACCAGAAACGAAAGAACAACTCCCGTCAGTGGAAACGTCCAGAGTTGCCGAAGTTTCACGGAAATTCAAACGAACACTGCTGGGTAAGTGATGGCGACCATCTTTTAGGACAGAAAGCTACAAGGCTATTGTTGTGCGAGTTCTTGCCTAACGGTACAACAATCAATGCCGACCGCTATTGTCAAACGCTGAGGGAGATTCACCAAAACAAGAGGAGGGCATGCTGATGAATCTAATTGCATCAGTGCTAACCGACTAAAAATATTTTTCGAAAAATATGAGTGAAAATAAAACAGCGCACCTTTACGTGACCCTCTATGCTAAATAAATCATAGTGTTTGAAAACACTATTAGTAAACGGCCGTGATAATGAAATGCCATTTCATTCAATCATTTTACGGGTATTCATAAACGTAAGGGTCATCGTGATGATTTCATATTCGAAAACACATTTTCTCGAAAATTACAACATACGATAGATAAAAATAATATTTTTTAATCTATCTGCTGATAACTATACCCATTATTGTATTTTATTCAAATAAAATTAGTTTTATTAGCTTTTATATAGTATTTATATAAGTAACTATTAATAAATTCTACTGATATTTATTTTATTAACTTTTATAATAGACCATGTATCATTTAGATATTGATCTCAGATAACTTAGACTACAATTCATAGTAAACGCTTTCCTTAATTTGATGATCAAATAATACAAAAGCCTTTTTAAAATTTTGTTTACTTGATTTAGAAAATTAGTTTAGTAAATTTAATTAGGTTTTCAAAAAAAAAAAAAAAAATCTCAATAAAAAAAAGTTATTTTTTATATGTAATCTTTAAGTAAAACACTACAAATATTTAATTTAGATGATTTCATTGTTGTTATAACAATGATAATACAGGACTATTAAAATAATTTATTTATAACTGTCTGATTCGAAAATGTAATAAATTATGTTTAATCTTTTTTTTAAATACCATTTAAGCAATTATAGCATGCAATTATTTTATCAAATATTTGTAATCTTTTGTACACATATTACACATATAATTTTATAAAGTAAAAATGTAGAACTGATTAACCGATCTGTATATTCATTTGTTTCACGGTAATTTAATTATTTATGTAATAATACATTTTAATATCGTTATATAATATAATTCTAATAAAAAGTTATTCTAATATTGTAGTTAGGATATTCGAATAGGACGTCATTTGGTGTGTTGCCAATTTCTTTTAAACAATATTTATCACTTGATGGTTAAATCAACAGTCAAAAAAAAGTTTAGTCAAAACTTGCCATTAAATAATACTTTTTTATAGCTGAACAAGTTAATAAAAAATTGGATTTTTTTTTTTAAGTAGAAATATCGTGTAAGCTATGCTTATTGGTTCGTATGCTGAATATTTTACATTCTTACTGCAATTATTGCTACACCAATTTTATTTAAAAATTCAAAAAAATATTTTAAACGTATACGGTGTGTGTTTAGTAGTATTTTATTAATAAAGTTAAGAGTATTTAATATTATCATTGTTAGTTACGGTTTTTAATGTCTCAAGCAACTAATAATTGGTGTCCAGAAGTCCAGAGCAACATCTGCACATCAGTATATTTTCAAGACATAAAACAACTACATTCTGTTAACAGCAGACTTAGGAAATAAAAGTCTCAGTGCATGTATAGGACACCACAAAAATAATTTTTGATTACTATTTCATAAGTAAAAAAAAGGAGGTAAAGTCATTGAATCGAACCGAACATATTTTTATTTAGCCGTTACGATATATTTTGTATGTTAGTACAAGTATTTCAAGCGTTAAAAGATATATTTTCGACATGATATCGAAATCCAAAGATATTGCAGTTAATACGCGCAGGTACATAAATATGAACTTACGTGTGCGGATTGTCCAAGAGGCAGTAGTGATAACAGCCACCACGTCCACGCTGGACCGTCGGCTAGTTGTTCCCAGTTCAGTTCTGTGGCAGGTGGGAAGCCAACTGTCCTTAGAATTTCAGATTTTATTTCCGACCGAAACTCGTTGAACCACGATAAGCCCCTCTGCCGGACGTTGTCGTGGAGTTTCCTTATCTCTATACACGTACAAACGTAAATATATTTTACAATGTTCTCGTAGGGCACGAAAACGATGCGCGACGCAGCCATCAGCGTGATAGTAAGAGTAAGATTCGTCACCGACCTGATAATTTTTTCGGAGGGACTTTTTCGTCCTGTATGTACTGCACTTTCGCCATGTCGTAACCGTCCTGTTCCTCCGTGACCAACACTTTGAACCTCTGAGTACCGACGGTGGACAGGAACGAACAACCGTTGCCCATCATAATGCGATCCTTGATTTCCAACACGGTGCCGTACTCGGCAAACCTATACGGTAAAGTTCGAGGGTGAGAAACGTATACCAGTGTTCAGGTTGGGCCACGCAGAGAACTACGCACGATACGTTCGCCGTACGAATAAAAAACCATTATTTTCGTGTCGACGACGCGCGCGGACTGGTGTACGCTATGTTCGTTACGTTGGCTAAACCACGACGTATCGCCAGCTATGTTTTCGAGCAATGTGCGACTAGTTGTCAAGTACTAAGAGACGGTTGTGTATTTAAAAAAAAACGTTTTCCTCGTGGAAGATCCTAAGTCTTAGAAAGCCGTAATAAAAAGTTGTACAAACATGAAAATTCTGTCCGTAACTGGCGAGCGAGCGGATGGTCCGGGGGTATACACCGAACTTTTTTTAAAAACAGACAAATTTTAATTGTTAACAAAGTTTTTAATAATTGACAAAAGATCGTCGAACAGGTTCGTACTCATGCGATAGAATCGTTACGGTTGAATGTTCTCGAACGGCCGCGTGCTTAGAACATTCTCGAAAATTCGAGATTCGCGAGCATTGATTATTCCACGCGCGCATCTAGAATATTTCACCATCTACATAAATTAGTCCGTTCACTAAGATTAGATAATTAGTAATATTACCCATGTTATTTGACGGTTAGGTTATGACGTGTAAAGTACGTACATGGTATATATTTTTCTATAAAGTCTTGTTAACTCGAATACAACGTCCTAAGTATTTTTACGTACGACAATCGTGAAAGTATTCTCTGAATTTTATTTCGTCATCTCGTAATCCATTTACGATGATACGATGCAGTTTACAAAAAAAACTTTTCTTTTCAAATTTATTTCACGGACCCACTTCTTACGTTTTACTGTAGTGTTTAGGCAAAGCGAACAATAATAAAACTTCAACGTCACTGGACTAACCTTCTGCCAGGCAAAATGTTCCCATCGTGTGTTTGAATATGGAAATTTTATATTTTTCAAAAAGAAATACAAAATATATTTAATTAATATTCAGGAACCATGATTATTTAAATTTAAAATAAATAGATAAAAAAAAACACTGTGATAAACACACAGTGCACCGTCAACAATCACTACATAATAACACGCTAATCGTCCGAGGGAAAACTGAATGTCTGTTACAAAATAAGGCCAAAATTAAAACGCGTAATTTCTCCGCGAAGTGCTTTGAGGTTCGAGGATATACGTAGTGATACATTATGTTGAGAGTATACGGCTTATAGAATCCTATAGGAGCTCCACAGCTCCCGGGGTAGGAAACTCAGATACCAACATTTATAAGGGTAACCAATGCGATGATACACGTGGCACACACGCATTGAACGTAGCAGGTGCAGCGAACGTAGCGTACCTAAGCGTAAAGAGCGCGCGTGGTTCTCCGTGTGGCCGGGCCGTTATTACGATGACGAGCCGACGTTATCGTGGTCGTAATACGGTCACAGGCGTGCGCACGAGGGGTACCGAATGCGCTCGAATGACCCCCGAAATGTTGTAAACGGGGCACCGAGTCTGAGGGTAAGTGTTCGGATCAAACGCGCAATTCGTTATTCTAAAATATTTGGTAAGCAATCGTAACGGAAAAAATAAATAGAAAAGTTCAGAACATTCGTCGGGCAAAACCGTATTACGACGGTGTAACAGCTACGGATCGACTGCAGGAGCACAAATCGTAGACGATCGAAGTTGTCTGAGAAATACATGCAAGTGATACGTATTCGTCGGACGACTGATTTATCACAAATATCGAGTAGAAATTAAAATCACGTTTCCTCGATCGTTTTCCACACCGATAATTCGTCAAACGTATCCACACCCAACCAAGACAGGGCTCCAGGCGCTGTTGGTGTAAGGGCGCGCGTAAGTTTATGAAAAATAAAAAAAAAAACCATGAACACACCCCGCACTTTATTTTACGTATTCAAATGTCTTAGACCCAGCACTGGTTGAGAGCACCCCCCCCCCCCCCAGCCACGATGCATGTGTCTGCGCACGCCTGCGTCACGCGGTGTGCGCCCGTCGCACGACGTCTTCACCCGTCATCGTGACAACGGTAGTCCTTCGTCGCCGCGGCGGGTGGCACGCACTTCATGGGGAGGCAGGAATGGCTGACCATGGCGAATCTCCGCATGCCCGACTCGATGCATCGCCTGATCATCAGCCGGTATCGGGGCTCGAACACGTGGAGTGGACAGGACACCGATGGGAACGCGTTGGTGCACACGAACACCGGCAGGTACGTGTTGTCGTGCTCCGGTCCCGGTCTCAAGCTCATCGTCCGCGTCAGAAAGCTTTTGGAGTACTTCGAACGGAGCAGTTCGTCGACGAACTCGACGGTGTTCTTCTTGCTCAGCGCCAAGCTCTGGAAACGGTCGTGTAAATTTCAGAACCACATGGGGCAACGGACCGACAGCTGCCCAGCAAGCGAAAGCCCCCAACGTTGTGAAGGTGGTTTTTTTTTTCTCAACGAAAACCTACTGTTTACGGTTAAACGCACGGTATGGAATGTTAACGAAAAACGTACTCGAAGCTATGGGGTTTTAAGTTGTAACACTGTCGGAATGCCTTCGAACATCGCGTTTACATACGTTTTTTTTCGACTCGTATAATGTTTTATGTAAAAAAATGTATAAACGCTGGAAAACGTAGGTTTTTCGAACGGTAAATTTATCGTTCTCATGTTCTCCAATAGTTTTTTGAAAAAACGAAGACGCATGACGAATCATTGCAGTTCGCAGGGCACAGAATTAAGTATGCGTTTATAGTAACGCATTTATCGGAAAGTTACATTTTTTATTCGAATATTTTAAATTTTTTAATTTAAGAATCTACTGTTATCATCTACACTATATTTCTATTAGTAGACTAACGATATAGCACATGATTTAAAATGTTTCTGTTCTTGAATTTTATTTTCGTAACTGAATGATTATTTCATTTATTTCATTTTTTTCACCAAAAGAAAAAAAACAATCAGAAATTTCAAGGGGGGCTGAAAATTAATACTTGTGCGAACTCAGCGTTTTATTATAGAGAACACATGCGATGTAGCAAACTCCCTACTCGCCCCCAATCACACCACTGTCAGGAAACAATGCAGACTTTTCGATATCGTTTATAGCAAGTGCTGCCACACACGTACAGACGCGTTCGTAATGCATACGATTGCGGTCGACGAATGTTCAAAAAATATTATAAGTACAATGAATATCCGATATAATATACTTACGGGTGGTAATGACGTGAAACACAGAGGGCAATGAAAACTGTAATCGAAACTGTGTTCCAAACAGTCCATGCAGTACGTATGTCCGCAGGGCGTCGTCACCGGGTCCCTGAAAATCCCGCAACAGAGCACGCAGTTGAAGTCCGATTCGTCCAGCAACGAGTTGTCGACTTTCAGAACGCAATCGTCGTTTTCAACATTCGAAGTGTAATCTAATAACAGAATTGAGAACGACGCACGGCTTAGTATAGGTATACATCTCGTTGATATTCCATCGAGCACGACTACTAAATAATTTTATAATACACAATGTTATTGCGGGACAGACATATCGAAATAGCCTTTGTATTTCGCGTAATTGAAGTCCATGATATTGTTTCGTGAAAATAATATCTTATAACACCAACTAAATATTAACATTATTTAACAGTGTTCAACGTATTGAAATCTATAATAGAACAATAAATTCCGTAGAAACAGTTACATAATGTTTGAATCATAATAATAACATGCGCACATCCCGAGAGCAAATATTTCTTTAATTAATTGTATTTACAAAATACAGTCATAAATGCCTTAATAGCATCACACTGTGTTCGGAATCTATTTAATATCATTTATCCGTAATATAACTTCATTAATTGTACAGTTACGTCACTTTTGTTAAACTAACTTTAGTTTCTAGGCATAACATCGCAGTGAAGCAACGCGCAATAATATTTCTAATGCGATGTAGACTATAATATTTCGATCGGTTGAATTGAAACACCAACGAAGTGGCTGTACATTAATTTTTTTTTCTGTTTTTATCACCAAAAGTAATACATCATATTCGGTATTTTTATTTTTGTATCTAATGATTTTTAATCGATTAGATGAAAAACTTAAGTTTCACTAAGTGCTGAAACTTTTAGAAGAACATAGTTACATTTATTGAGATTTCTGAGAGTATTGCATAGCAGTGATGCCCAACCCACGCCCCGTGGATATATTCTATGTGGCTCAATAAAGTGAAATTTTTTATGAATTTACAAATATTATTTTCGGACATTTTTAAATGGAAACTTTATGATTTAATATTGATACGATCCGTGCACTTAAAAGAGCGTACTGATCAAATTAACGTGTAACTAAAATAATACTTAAAACTGTTTCTCAATCTGTAATCTTTCTAATACTCGTATTAAATGTGATTGCAAAATGTATATGTCGGTCACAAAGGCTGACTAATATAGTAGACAAATAAATAGCTGACAACTTCTTAACTGGATGAGAGTTGATAAAGCGACACTTGATGATTTCGTTTTAAATTGGAAAGACGAGGTTAGTGTATCATAATTTATACATTAATTTAATTTAATTTAAAAATATACAAAAATTGAACAAATTAAAATCATATGGTTTTTAAGTAACAATTTAAAAAAATAATTATACTAATATTATTTATTTTTAACCAATCGTTTATCTATAATGAAAATATAATGAACTTACGTTTAATATGCATAATTTCAGATAAAATTTGTCGAACCAGTTCAGTTATTTTGCTGACTTCGCATGACGATTTCGTGAAGAAGTTATTATCGTGTTCAACAGGTTTCTAAACAATATTTTTACGTGAATTTATAAAAATAAATAAAGCATTCGTTGCCATACCACTATTAAGGAGTTGGTATTGTTTTCAAATAAGTTTGAACCGTTGATGAACGTATTCAAGTACGATCTTAAATAATCGTGGGAAATAGGATTCCATCTTTCTAAATCTAGAACTTCAGTCTCCTTACAATACATTATTAGTAACCTCTGTAGCACCTCATTTATTTTTGGCTTCAACTTTTGCTGGTTTTCACCGAGCACTGCGCTCAACGAAAATTCTAACAACGCTTCTTGATACTTCCCTAGAGAAAATAACACCATTCCACGTGTAAAATGACCCTAAAATAATGACATTAAATAATTATTCACAAACCAATACGAAAGGAATTAAAAAGTTAAAGACACACTTTAGACCATTTAGGTTTCATTTCCACCACGCGGACAGCATCCGAAAGAGCATTTTCAAGGACTCCAAGTTTAAGCAGTGTTCTTGATCTGATGTTCAACAAATCATAATTTTCACCACCTAAAAATATTATTAAATAATATATAAAAGTTAACATATCATATAATTTCACAATAAAGTATAATATTGATATTTTTTAAAAAAAACATGCTACAATAAAAAGTAATTGGGTTAGTAGGGCGTTAATGAATTTAAATGTATTAACTACAATGATGAATCATAGCATTCAGACTCGTCTTTTTCAATTACTATATATTATATGGTATTTACGTATTTAAAAATGTATCATTTTCTGGTTCTTAAAACATTTTTATGAGTTATAAATAAAATGCGTCTATAATGGACAAAATGTGTGAAAATAGACTGAGATGGTTTGGGCATGTGATGAGAGGAAACAAATGCAGTAAGAGTTGTTATGAAAATGAACGTTGGAGGGAAAAGAGGAAGAAGAAGACCAAAAAAAGATGGTTAGATGCGATTGAGAATAAAATTAGGGGCCGTTGGTGTGTGCGTAAGGCATGTAAAAAATCGAGACGATTGAAAATTTAGGACAAGGGTGGCCAACCCCAAATAGTTGGGAGAAAAACGAAGGAGGAGACTTAAACTTATAACTTGAGTTATAAATTAACCTAGAATTACAATTTTATTTTATAAGCCTTAGGCACAGTCAATTAAATAAATTATAATTCAAGCAAGGGGTTCCGAATACAAAATTGGTCGGAGTGACCACGAGTCAACTGGTGCCGGATATAAAATATTAATAAAAAGAAGTGGACTGTATCAAAACGCAGCAACAACCAACGTATACAAAAAAAAAAAAAAACGGACAGGACACTAATAATATAATCGCGCAACCGATTAAAATAAATTGTGACTACCTGGTGACAACGACATGAATTCGTGGGGCTAGGTAAATTTAGTCCGCGATATTTTGTGTACATTTTGAAAGCGGTAAATTGAGTCCCGGGAAAAAAAATATATTAGATAAGTTGGGTTCCGGGGAAAAAAAGGTAGTAGGTAAATTGAGTCCCAACTACTAACTGTACTACCTCGCCGTAGTCGTTTTACAAATGACAATTCACACTTTTCTATAGGTTATCGTTTGCATTGTGATCAAATCACTTCGTAACGTCGTAACTTTGATTATGTCTAATTAAGATACGTATATAGGCATATACGTACATTAGTTAATCGTATATCGTATGTCAGTTATCAGTTAACACCAATATTGATGATAGTTCTTATGATTACATACAGACACGAGTGTATGAAATCTAAGCATTTTCACTATATTTTTCGTAGCGTGCATTGCGTACTGTACGTCGATTTGAGTTTGATAATTTGGTATCTTTTAAGTTTATACCGAATATGTAATAAAAAAACACAATAATATTAAAATGTACTTCTAATAAAAATTATTATATATTAAAAAAAAGTTGTTTACCATGTACTTAACCCATTACCTTTTTTCCCCGGGACCCAATTTACCGAGTAAAGATTATTTAGGACCCAATTTACCCGGTAAAACACGATTGCGCCCGTCCTACCTTTTTACATGTAAAAAAAAAATACGATTGCGCCCAGCTAATTAACTAGATAGCACCAAGTTTTACCTTTTTACCTGCAAAACACGAAACACGATTGCGTCCAGCAAAATAGCTCGATAACGCTCCGTGAAATATAAGGTCTTACCTTTCTATCAATTTTAAAATATGCTATATAAAAATACAATCGGAGTGTAAAACTCAAAGTTTAAGTTAGGTTAGATTATCATTTTAACAATTTTCCTTCTCAAAAGGCTTTATGTCCTATAGGAATGACAACATGTATTTATTTATTTACTTATTATAATACTATATGATAGCCTGTTATTCATGAAGTTATTAATATATTATTAGACATCCAAAGTAAAACTTATTTAAAAATTAAAAGTATTAAAGAAAATCGTATAAACAAACCTCAAAAAGAACAAGAAAACAAATTTAAATTTATAATGCAAACTTGGACAAAATTAAATTTCTATGCTAGAATATATGAATACAATGGAACCCCAACTTTGTGCCGCAAAATTATAATTAATAGCTTCGTAATTTATTGAGTTATTTTATGTATATATAGACAAATATTACAATTAAAAAAAAATGTGATTTTGTAATTTTATATACGTATATTAGAATAAATTTTATTATTTAAAAAAAATGTAATTCCTTATTTTTCGTGATTTTATATGTTATTATTTTATTGATTAAAAAAACAAATGCATTAATAGTTTAAAAAGTTATGTTAATGTGTACCAATGTATCTATGAGAAACAATTTTTAACTAACCCAACAATTTAATTTTGTTGTCAGTCCTAAGTCTGTAAAATTGGGAAGGAAAATTATTAAAACGATAATCTAACTTAACTATGAGTTTTACACTCCGACTATATTTTGAAATAGTATATTTGAAAATTGTTAAAAAAGCCCTTATATTTCATAGAGTACTATTGAGCTAATTAGCTGGGCGCAATCGTGTTATGATTTTTTCATATAAAAAGGTAGGATGGGCGCAATCGTGTTACAGTCCAATTTACCAACTCCTGGACTTAACCTACTACCTTTTTTTCCTCGGGACCCAATTTACCAACTCCCGAATTTATAGGCTGTCGTCACCGGGTTAGAAGGCGAGTAGAACAATAGGTCAGTTCTAGATTATTCGAGACAATATCTCTGATGAAGAAGATGTACCTGTACGTCTTGATTATTCTAGAGAAGTTGAGACTATTTTCATCAATTATCGAACTATACCCAACAAGCACATTTAATCCCGTTAATTTTAAGTGCCTATACAAGATATTATGTAGGTCTATACTATTTATGCAAGTTCGGAATCACAACTGTAAGAAAAACCTAATAAAAGGAGAACTACAAATATTAAAAATATGACAGGTATTAAAAATTAAAATTACACGTTGTAAACAAATTTTGGTTATTTTTAATAATTGTTTTCTTTATTCTTAATTACTAGTTCAGCTTATAGATTCAATTAATATGTGTGCCCAAACATACAGAAAATTTCTAAAAAAAAAAAATTGATGACTCATAGTTCGTGTACAAAAAAAAAAAAACCACATAATTATAAAACCAATGATACATTCCACGCTTCGCTCAACATATTACATATTATTATTATCTGTATAAAATATTTGAGACCACAAACGCGCCAATGGCTTGATAAGTATTACTTCATACGCATTAGCTGTAAACTATTTATAAGTATTACAAGTCATTAGCCGTTCTTTAACGTTTTATGGACTCACGGACTATGCGGTGACAATAGTTCAACGATTTGGTTATTAATGAGTAATAGATTGATAAAAGCCCATCGATTTATGTCATAAGAAAACAACTATATCACATTTTTATGTAATGCATATAAACAAACAACATCACTATAGTTTTTCATTTGACCGTCAACACGACGGTTTCAAAAATACGACAGTATTACGATTCAATTTTTAATCAAACGACTGAGCGTCCAACTGAAGTGCACAACGCAGATTTTAATCGTTTTTAAGCAACTCGTAAAATATACAATAATATTGTCACCCATTAAACTACTCGAATGACTTATTTTACGTAAGTCTATTGCTATATTTTTTTTCGCACGTCGTTAATGTTTGTTATACGCGCATATATACATACCAAATTTAATATTCTGCATATTATTACACGATTTCAGGCAATATTTTTTTCAACGATGAATTAATTTTCCAATTAAAATTGAACACCTTAATGACATCGTTAAATGTGCATTAAGTCGATTGAAAATCGGTTTTGATTCAGTGAACAGTTTTTGAGGAATTTTTAATTTTTCCCATTCCACTCGTTACACAACGATTTCTCAAGCGATACTGTTACGTATTGTGCCCTCTGTAATCTATTTGAATAGGATTACAATTTATTGAAAATAACCTCATGCAATCGCTCTATTATTCACACTCGACATATCACAATATTACATGCGATATTGACAAATGCACCAGGACAAATATTATGTCGAATGTATTGCTAAACCGACAAATAATTGTTGAAACAATGCAGTCTGTTAATTACCCAACACATTAGTTATTACAATATAAAATTAACTACTGTTTTCGAATGATAATATCTATGAATAGATAAGAACAGTTCTCGAATAGAATTTGTATTGGAATCGTTCTGAAATGAACAATAATAATTTTCACGAATAATAAGCGCATTATTATTTATGATCCTTTGAAACGTTATCAATTGCATAATACATTTTATTATTAACATTTGTCGACGATAATACGTTTAATAGCTGATATTTGTTATAATTTCGTTTCGAATCGTGCACTGCTACATACACTACTACGTACACTACTACGTGTGCTACCTTAGTGGATCCGGAAGAAAATTGGTTTTTATTCAAATTTGTATCATTCGCCGTTCGAATAATAATATTATTACGCATTAACAGTGCTATTAAAAAATTATATTTAAATCGTGCGGAGCATTTAATTTATTCGTACATATACGAGTATATTATATATATATATATCGTTGTAGTTTTAATTAATGTGATTGCTCCCTGTATGAGAACTGTATTAAAATAAATTGAATTATGTCATAATAGGATGTATAACCATGGCAAGCCGATCGATAAAACCGAAACGTAGTAGTAATAACGCACGTCGATATTATAGTACGCTACTACGTCAAACGATTTAAATAAACATTTTTCTCGGCGTACTCGCCGTGGTAGAGAATATCGTAACGTCATTACATACGGTTAACATAACGGGGCTCGAGATTGTGCGTATACCACGCGCTACGACGCATTTTGTGCGCTACAAAAATCCAAAGCGTACATTGAAATCGGTATTCGAAAGGTGTACGGGCTGAAATTTTCAACCGCAGATTACATCACGGACGCTTATCGGAGACCAATTGTGGAGTACGAACAATTGAAAGGTTTAGCCCTAGATCGGCGACTGAGGGCAATCGGAAAGAATAATATTTGTTCTTCGCGCGTACAACACACATTCGTCGGTT